TTTAGGCTTTTTGAAGGCTGGGCTAAGGCTGCAAATATCATCTGCAACTGTAGCCTTTATAAGTCTGGGTGTTTTTCTTTCCTTGTTTTCTGTACGGTAAGTTGCTTCATTCACTTTGTCCAACTTTTTTTTTTTTAACGTTTTATTTCTGAGAGAGAGAGACAGTGTGAGCAAGGGAGAGCCAGAGAGAGAGGGAGACACAGAATCCAAAACAGGCTCCAGGCTCTGAGCTGTCAGCACAGAGCCCGGTGCGGGGCTCAATGCCATGAACTGTGAGATCATGACCCGAACTGAAGTCAGATGCCCAACCAACTGAGCCACCCAGGCGCCCCTCCAACTCTATTGTTTTGTATTTATTTCATGGGCTTTCCACAGCAGGAGGGGAGGTCTGATGCCCATCATTCATGGCTATAACTAACAGAGGTGTTGATATTTTTCACAGCTTCCTAACTCTGATGTGCATTCAAGGCTAATAACTTGTTCAGAATTCAAGGTTTCTCAATAGCACCACTATGGGCATACTGAGCTGGCTTAAGGGACTGTCCTGTATGCTATAGGATATCTCTGGCCTTTACCTAGTAGATGCCAATAGTATTTCCTCCTAGCTGTAGTAATCCAGAATGTCTCCAGAAATTGCTAAATGTACCATGGAGCACAACTGTCCCAGGCTGAGAAACACTGAGTATGATTATCGTATGCCTTAAGCCTCTGCTACTAAAAGTCTGCTGTGCCAAGCAGCTGCCTTGGCATCAACTGGAGCTTCTTAAAAACACAGAATCTAAGTTTCATCTTAGAACTTCTGAATGAAATCTGTATTTTTTAATGTTATTTTTGAGAGAGCAAGTGAGCACATGAGCAGAGGAGGGACAGAGAGAGTGAGACAGAGGATCCAAAGAGGACTCTGCACTGACAGGAGACCCCAATATGGGGTTTGAACTCCCAAAACACAAGTTCATGAATTGAGCTGAAGTCAACACTTAACCAATTGAGCCACCCAGGTGCCCCTGAAATCTGTATTTTAACAAGATTCCAAAATGATTTGTATACTTTTTCTCATGTTTGAAAAACTATGCCATAGATAAGAAAGCTTTCTTGTAAAGAGCCAGATGGTAAATATTTTGGGTTTACCACCTAGTCTTTGTCAGAACAATTGAACTCTGCCATTGCAGTATAAAAGCAGCCATACACAGTAATATATAAATGAGTGTGGCTATGTTCCAATCAATCTTTATTCACAAAACAGGCAACTCAGAACATTTAACAACCCATGCCATAGACTCTTTCCCAAGCATCTCTCTCAGTAAGCTGATGACAACTCGTGGTTAAATCCTTAGATGAGGCCTTCCCATTTGGTATCAGTTGTTACTTAAAGAGAGATTAGGTGCCTAGACTTCTCTCCTGTATAACCTATCTTGAAATTTTAGTAGCTTGACTTATGTTCTTACCTAGATGGGGATATCGTCTACTTCCACATGTAAGTAATTATATGTAAATGCTACCTGTTAGCTAACTAGTAGCTCTCAGTCTTTGAAAGTATATAATTTGAGGGCACATTTCCTATTCTTTGTAAGAACAATGCTTTATGGGCCCACAGGAGTTAATTACTTTGCCTTTAGCAAATAAAGCTGACAATTTCTTTTAATAGGCTCTACATCCCTGTGTGGCATGAACTCATGCCCCTGAGATGAGAAGTCACGTTGTTGTACCGTGGGCCAGCCAGGCACCTCTAAAGCTGAAAAAATTTTAGAAAAATTGTGATAGTGTGACTTTATTAGCTCTCAGGCAGTAAAGAGTAGTTTAAAGTTAGTTGAGTCTCAATAATTTCTTCTAAGTAGAAAAGTTAAAGGGCCTTCAAGACCTCTATTTTGTTTTGTATACCTTATGTACAAGTTACTTCTTACCTTCTAACACTGCATCTTGAAAGTGACTTTCTTACTTTCTAAAACTGCATCCTGAAAGTGACTTTCAGGGGGTAAAAAAGGGCTCTTTAAAGAATGGTGGTTTAGAGGTCAAAAAAGTAGCTATTATAAAGAATGATGGTACTCCATCAGATGGTTTAAGACTGAAATATTTTGCCTTATTTTTTAATTTTTTTCTTCTAAGTTACTTGATATGAGGACAGGGCAGGCCAGGTCACCAAAGTGAAGCAGAAAGAGAACAACTGGTAAACTGTTAAGATGAAAGCAGGAAACTGACTGCTGGGAGCTCTGGCCAACAGGAATGATGTAAGAAATTTCTGAAACTTGTACATATCAGTATTATTCAGTCTACAGTGGTTGGTCTGTTCCTAGCGTTTTTTAAGAGACGTGCCATGGTATCCATCCTAGGGCGATTTCCTCTGGTTGTAAACAGCCAATTCCTTTACCCAGTATATGGCATGTATGTCAACGAAAGGTTTCCATGTCATGATAAAGCTTGGGAGTCATTATTTTTTTTTATTGTAGTAAAAAGCATATAACATTAAACTTCCCTCAACCATGTAGTTTAGTAGTGCCAAGTATATTCACACTGTTGTGCAGAAGATCTCCAGAACTTTCACATCTTGCAAAATTGAAACTTTAGACTCACTAAACATCAGCTACCCTCTACCTTGGCAACTACCTTTTTGTTTTTTTGACTACTTTACATATTTTGTATTAGTGGAATCATAGATGTCCTTTTGCGACTGGCCTAATGTGCTTTCCAGAATGTCCTCAAGGTTCATCCATATTGTAGTTATGTGGCAGGATTTCCTTCTTTAAGGCTGCATAATATTCCATTATACGTATATACCACCTTTTCTTTATCCATTCATCTGCCCATAGGAATCTTGGTTGCTTCTACCTCTTGGCTACTGTGACTAATGCTATGATCAACATGGGTGTACAAATGTCCCTTCAAGATACCTGAGTTCTGAATATATACCCGGAAGTACGATTGGTGGATTATTTGGTAATTCCACTTCTAATGTTTTGAGAAACTTCTGTGCTGTCTCCCATAATGGCTACACCATTTTACAGTCCTCCCAACAGTACACAAGGGTTCCAATTTCTCTGTATCTTCACCATTTGTTATTTTCTGTTTTTCTGATACTGGCCATAAAAGGGTAAGATGGTATCTCCTGGTAGTTTTGATTTACATTTCTGTACTTGGTGATGCTGAGCATCTTTACATATGCTTTCAGAGAATACTCAAGTCTTCTTTATGTATTCTGGATACAAATCCTTTATCACATAAATGATCTGCAGAATTTTCTTCTAGTCTGTGAGTTATCTTTTAATTTTTTAAATGGTGTCTCTGAATTATGTAAATTTTTATTTTCTTTTGTGGATTTTATAAGTTTGATGTTATAGAGAACTCACTGCCTGATCCTAGATCACAAAGATTTCCTCCTGAAAGTTTTATATTCTGGCTACTATACTCACATTTATGATTTGGTTTTGGTCAATTTTGGTACAAAATGAAGTAGGTCTAAATTTATCTTTTTGCAAGGATGTCCAGTGGTCTCTGCACCTTTGTTGAAGATTATCTGTCCCCACTGAATTGCCTTCGTACATTTGTTGGAAACCAATTGCTCGTGTATGTGCGAGTTTACTTCTGGAGTCTCTATTCTATTCCAGTGATCTGTATGCCTGTCTTTATGCCAGGACCATACTGTCTTGATTAGTCTAGCTTTGTGATCAGTTTTGAAATTGCAGAGTAGGTTTTTCCACTTTGTTCTAGATTATCAAGGTCATTTTCGGTATTTTGGTTCCTTTGCATTTCCAAAGCCTGCTCGGATTTTAACTGGGATGGTGTTGAATCTATCGATCAGTTTGGGGGAAAATTGTTTGTTTGTTTGTTTTGCTAAATAGTAATTGCCCTATGCAATCACCGTTCTTGGTGGGAGTTGCTAGGATCTGAATTCACATATATTAGGTCCTGAGACTGGCTCATTCCAGAAACTGAATTCTAGTTGCAGCTGATTCTTCTTAGAAAAAGGCATTTTGCTTTATGGAATTCCACAAATACCTGATTTTATGAGTATACCCTCCTTCATGCCTCCACGGGCCGACAGCTTGATGCCACTTGCCATACAGTGTGTTCTAAGTCCCCATCAAAGAACAAGGCTCATGTTTATCTTCTTGAATCTCTGGCGACATCCTCTGACAAATTTTGTTGTATGCTTCTAGGCCTTCCAGTTTAACACTGTAAAACTGTAATTTGTGGAGACTGCTTTTTCCTTTTTGGTTAGGAAATGAGCCTTTTCTTTGATCAACTTTCAAGACAAATAAGGATTTTAACCAGCTATCCTCTTCAGGTCTGTTATTGGAAGACGGCTGCTCTGCGGACTTGCAGTACTGCCCCCACCATCTTGTTCTGCTGCCGTGGCTCCCTCAGAATCACTATTAATAACCAAAAAGCTTTCTAATTATGACTTTTTTTGTCTTGCCAAGAAAATTCAGTTTTCATATTTCATACTTTTAGATGATAAATTATTTTTAAGACGGCCTATTTCCTGATGTAAAAGAACCAATCAGTTTCACTAGATTTTGGTTGGTTAATGGGGTAAGTACTTTATAAAACTCTTACAATGCAGGATCTAGGACCTAAAACTTCTCAGGAAAAATGTGCAAAAATTGGTTCATTTTGTCAAACATGTTTTATTTAGAATTCTTACAAAGTACACAAAATAAGGATAACTCAAATCTAACACAATATATTTTTCCATAGGAAAGCACAAGGAGAAGACAAAAGTACTGTGAGTCTCGAATTCTGAAAGAAAGAAAAAGTTCTCCACAAAATCCCAGATCTACACAGTTCCCAAATTCACTTTATGAACCATATCAAGATTTTATCAGTCCAGACATACTCAACAATTCAAGGTCTTCATCTTGGTATACGTCTACTTCTCCAACTGGAATGGAGGTCAGAGACTCTACTCTCAGTGAAGAGACAGAGGCCGATGTGTATTATTATGGCTTTATCGTCCTTTTTCTTTTGATTTTAGTAGGTCTTACTTTATACTTTCTCTAAAGATATCAAATAAAATCTTTTTGATAATTTTTACAGTTGCCAGTTCTTCACAGAAGTGTTAGATTCTTATTTTAGGATTTCCTCCCAGACATTTTCAAGGTAATTGGCTGGTAAAAAGAGAATATATTTTAACAAAGTTTGTGGACATTCTAAAAAATAAGACTGCTTTATACTAGAAAACACTGTCATGATACAGTTTGAAAACCACTTTTTTTGACCAAAGAAGCAATGTAAAAACCAAAATGTTATTGATGAGGACAATTTTACCCCTTTTTAACATAGTTTTGGATATACTGTATACATATCTATCTTCCAAAGCACATTACTAAAAGCCAGGCATAATTTATGAACTGTGGTTAGTGATTTCCTTACCTTACTACAATATGGGCATTCACCAAATATGATGTTAAAACTCTGCCTACTCGTCACTAGTCCTCTCAACCACTGAAGATTTTAAAAAAAGACAGCAATGTCAGCATGATTACAAATCACAGATACTCTACATTTCATTTCCTTTATGATTACATATATTTTTTTCCAAAATATTTACCTTCTTAATTTTCTTTTACAGAAAGGAGAACGTTTCCTGGACAATACCGACTAGTAATATTGTTTATATTGATTTACCGACTAGCTCAATAAAAAGGGGAGACTGCCAGGAATTTCAAGGTCTGTTAAGAGCGGTTTATAGCCAAATTATGGGCCCTTTATGCACCTTCTCAACCCCCAAAATAGACATGAAAATTATGTACACAAGTCAGTGGGGTTCACAGACCCAGTCTGAAGTCATTAATTACAAATTAAGAACTCCTGCTGCAAAAGATACCATAAGCTCTTGAAAATTTAGGTTTAAATTCTGGTCTTAATCACCAATAGTGGGTTAATTCTCAATCCATTAATTATAAGCACGAAGCAGTCCATTTTTAAAAATTAAATGAACATTATTATAAAAGAAAGCACATGTTCCCTTAAGAGTATCTCTATAATTAGAGCTGCTATTTCATGAGTTTATAGAAGGTAAATGGACATCTCTAAGTTCTCTATGGTTAAAGTGCAGGTAACAGCAACTGCTGTCTCTAAACAGGAGTGACAGTAAAGACGACGGAGAGCACTATACAACTGCCAGGTGTTCCGTATATACGTGCATATATACAGTAAATCATGTCAGCTGTGCCTTAAGATGAATGCTAGAGATCACATGACTATACACAGGAATGAAAGCAGGCTTCACATATAGTAAACAAATAATAAATAAACTGTCACTGAGAGTGCTGTGACACATTCAGATCACAAAATCTATTATTCTCAATATTACAACTAAGGTTATTACATTTATTCTATACTTAAATCTACTCCGGAAAGTAATAGATACTCATTAGTGCTATTTCCCTTTCACCCTTTTGCCACCCCTACTGCTCCCTCTTGGATGAGTGACAGTTTGCACTGTGGTCACATAAGATTTTCACCAAAAGATTCCAATGTACCATCAGTTTGATTTGTTATGCATCAGTAAGCAGCCCATGAATATATTCTGGATACATTTTCTCCCTTCCAGAGATACTACTTTAGGGCATTTATTCACTCATTAGTAACCAGGATGAAGAAACAAAAGCACATGGGCATCTGGAAATGGACTGGTAAAGGAGCTAATGGAAAAAAGAGATCGCTATTCACTTAAACAGATTTTAGATTCTGTATATTTCAATATGCATAGTTCCTAGGTCACGGTAGCCAAAAAACTCTTGCCAGGGTTATTTTCATTTTATTTTTACCTCATATAAACATATTTGATGGAAAGGCTGTGCGCATTGGGAATTATCACACACTTGATCAGGAATGGCACCATCAAGTTGATAGGCATAACAAATCCCACAATCCATAGAAAAATCCTTCAAAAGAAATATTTATAAGCACAAGTGTTTAAAACACACAAGGTAAGATAAGAAAGAATAATATGGTATAGACAAGATCAGATTTCCTTTTAGTTTTTATACTGGTAACTATATCATTATTTACAGAAAATACAGTTACTCACTATTTAACACTTTAGAAAAAGCTATTTATTAGAGTGCTTCCTTTTTTATCCAGTAAGTAATAACACATAGATATATTAAAAAACATTCTATATTGGGCTTAAGTAGTTTCCCCACATTGTACATCAATATTATGCCAATGTAACATATATAGTAAATGACATTAGCTGATGATGACTAAACTTCAAAATTCTTGAACTAAAGGAAGATGACAAAAACATTCCCACCACTTTAAGAGTCTACAAGCTCTGCAGCTTTATCAAAAATCAATTCTAATTTTATTATTTTTGCAACATAGTAATACCTACTCATTTTCAACAATTGTACCGCCATCCTTCACAAATATATCAAGCTAATTAAAACTTTATTTCAATCATCCATAAGTAGATAGTATGAGAATATCCAAACATCTCATTAGCTACTTTAGACCTTTCCCCCTATTTTTAATAATAAAGATGTATGTCATTAATCACTTTATTACTACAAAGACCATGACAAAAGTATACTTAAACCACTAATCAAAGGTTAACAAGTTCTTTGATGCTACTGTTGCTTGCAGTTCAGAAGTCTGTTACAATATTCTTCCAAGTCCCTCCCTTTCAGCCTCATTTTTCTCTGGTGTCTAAAAGAAGAACACTTAACTTTCATTATGCTATGCTGTTTGGAATATCAAAGCCCTCATAAAACTTACAGATTTTTCCAGGTTAGCGCGAGCTGGAAAATCTATTTCTAAAACATCTTTCAGATTTTGTAACAGACTATTTTCTGGATCCCTGAAAGCATGAAGAAAATTGTGTTATCAGATTTGCAAAATAATAGAAAAATAACAATTGTACTGCAAAAGATACCTACCACAAATGTATGTTCCTGCTCAGCTTAATTCCCAGAGGTTTTACCACTTCAGATGTTAAAAACAAAACAAAACAAAACAGAAAAACAGTTTAAAAATGTAGCGTCTGCTCCTCTCACTTTGTAAAGCCACATTTAGCACAGAATTTTTTTTTAACTGAGATATAATTAGCATAAAACACTGTATTACTTTTAGGTGTACAACATCGTGATTTGTTATGTGTGTGTAATGCAAAATGATCACTATAAGTTTAGTTAATATCTATTACCACATGTAGTTACAAATTCTTTTCTGATGTGAACTTCTAAGACCTGTTCCCTTAGCATCTTTGAAATATACAATATTAAACACAGAATTTACTAATTATTTGACTAGAAAATCTCAATCATATACTAAAAAAACATAAAAGTACACAGTTCAGAATGATGAAACATTTTCATTTAAAATAATTACTAATGTATTAATATTTTAGAATATTTTAACAGTGAGAGACAAGAATTTTATGACTGTTAACAATATTTAAATATGAGATCTCACACCATGGTCAGCTCCAAGAAAGCAGCACTCAGGAAGCATAGTAGGATGCTTGGGGTCAACCTCTATATGTATTGAAGCATTATTCCCTAGAATAAAAGAATGTTAGAGTTTACAGAAGTAGAAAAGTTCATCAAATAAAAAATAAAGGAGTATCGGTCTGGGTACTTGCTGTACCACAGGAGAGATTAGCCAATGTTTTATGGGTTTCAATACATACATCCATGTACATATATAAAATATATTTATGAATATAATTTTATAGTCTAAAATTCTGAAATTATGATTATGACTAAAGATTTGGGGATCCATCCAAAGTTTCAATATACAGAGCCAATCCATTGAGTTACTTAATTTCTACTGAAGCTCTGGTCAAAATTCCATTATAGCTAAAATAAAAATTTTTTATAGAGTGATAAAGATCTTTAATATTAAAAGAAATCACAAGTTCAAGAAATAATTATCTAAATGACTTCCATAACTTTCTTGGAAAGCACAACTATGGTCAGATGTAAAAAGACCAGGGTACAATAAATTATGATTTGAGTTTTATAAAGTTTTATCAAAACATTTTCTATCAGTAATCACTTCCAATGTAAGAGGACTAAACACTCCAATCAAAAGACAGAGGTTGTCAGAATGGATAAAAATTAAGACCTATCTATATTCTGTCTACAAGAGGCTCATTTTAGACCTAAAGAGAAACACTGACGACACAAATGGATGTCAAACGAAAACCAGAGTAGCATTACTTATACTGGACAAACTAGACTTTAAACCAAAGACTGTAGCAAGAGATGTGAATCAGGAAGAAACAGAAACCTGAACAGATCAATAACAAGCAAAGAAATGGAATCAGTAATCCAAAAACTCCCTACAAAAGGAGTCCAGGGCCAGGTAGCTTTACAGGCAAACTCTACCAAACATTTAAAGAAGAGTTAATGACTAATCTTCTCGAACTATTCCAGAAAGTAGAAAAGGAAGAAAAACTACGAAATTCATTCTATAAAGCCCTCATTACCCTGATACCAAAAAGCAGAAAAAAAACTCCACTAAAAAAGAGAACTACAGGCCAATATTCCTGATAAACATAGATGTAAAAATTCTCAAAAAAACCCCCAAAAACAAGCAAACTGAATCTAACAACATATTAAAAAAATAATTCACCATGATCAAGGATTTATTCCCAGTCTGCAAGGGTGATTTTATATTTACAAATCAATGTGAAATACCACATTAATAAAAGAAAGGATAAGAATAATATGACAATTTTAACGCATGCAGAAAAGGCATTTGACAAAGTACAACATCGTTCATGATAAAAACCCTCAACCAAGTAGAGTTGGAACGTATGTCAACACAAAGTCAATATATGAAAAACTCAGCTAATATCATCCTCAAGAGAAAAAAAAGAGCTTTTTGTCTAAAATCAGCAACAAGACAGGAATGTCCACTCTCACGACTGTTATTTAACATAATACTGCAAGTCCTTGCCACAGCAATCAGACAACAACAACAACAAACATAAAGGCATCCAAATCAGCAAAGAAGTAAAACTTTCTGATACTCCACAAAGAAAACCAGAAAGATTCCTTCAAAAACTGCAATAACTGATACATGAATTTAGTAAAGTCACAGGATACAAAAATCAGTGGGTAGAAATCTGTTGCATTTCGATACATCAAAAATGAAGCAGCAGAAAGAGAAATTAAGAAATCAATCCTACTTACAACTACAACGAAAACAAAAAGATACCTAGGAATAAATCTAACCAAAGAGGTGACAGACCTATACTCTGAAAAGTATAAAACATTGATGAAGGAAAACAATGACACACACAAAAATGGAAAGACATTCCATGCTCATGGATTAGAACAAATATTGTTAAAATGTCTATACTACCTAAAGCAATCTACACGTTTATGCAATCCCTGTCAAACTACCACAAGCATTTTTCACAGAGCTAGGGAAACAATCTTCACATTTGTATGGAACCACAAAACACCCTGAATAGCCAAAGCAACCTTGAAAATGAAAACCAAAGCTGGTGGAATCACAATTCCAGGCTTCAAATTATATTACAAAGTTGTCGTAATCAAAACAGTATAGTATTAGCACAAAATATAGATTAATGGAACAAAAAGAACACCCAGAAATAAGCCTACAACAATATGGTTAATTAGTCTTTGACAAAGCAGCAAATAATATCCAACAGGAAAAAGACAATCTCTTCAACAAATGGTGTTGGGAAAACTGGAGAGAAAAACATGAAAAAGAAAAACTGGACTATTTCTTACACCAAACACAAAAGTAAATTCTAAATAGATGAAAGACATAAATGTGAGACCTGAAACCATAAAAATCCTAGAGGAGGACACAGGAGAACCCCTTTGACATTGGCTGTAGCAACTTCTTTCTAGAGATGTCTCCTGAGGTAAGGACACAAAAGCAAAAATAAACCATTGGGACTTCATCAAAATAAAAAGCTCCTGCAGAGGGGCGCCTGGGTGGCTTAGTCGGTTAAGCGTCCGACTTTCACTTAGGTCATGATCTCGCGGTTCGTGGGTTCGAGCCCCGCGTCGGGCTCTGTGCTGACTGCCAGCTCAGAGCCTGGAGCCTGTTTCAGTCTGTGACTCCCTCTCTCTCTGACCCTCCCCTGCTCACGCTGTCTCTCTCTCTCATCTAGAAATAAATAAAAATATTTAAAAAAAAAAAAAAAAAAAAAAAGCTCCTGCAGAGCAACAGAAATGGTCAACAAAAGTAAAAGGCAACCTACAGAATGGGAGAAGATATTTGCAAATGACATATCTGAGAAGGGGTTAGTATCCAAATTCTATAAAGAACTTATAAAAACTCAACATCCCCAAAATGAATAATCCAGTCAAGAAATGGGCAGAAGATATGAATAGACATTTTTCCAAAGAAGACATACAGATGGCCAATAGACACATGGTCAACATCACTCTTCATTGGGGAAATGCAAATCAAAACTTATCTTGATGAACACTGAGCAACAGTGTATGTTAACTGAAATTTAAATAAAACCTTAATACAAAATATTAACAAAAAACATTTTCTGTGGCACCTGGGTGGCTCAGATGGTTGAGCGTCCAACTTCAGCTCAGGTCATGATCTCACGGTTTGTGAGTTCGAGCCCTGTGTTGGACTCTGTGCTGACAGCTTAGAGCCTGGAGTCTCCTTCAGATTCTGTGTCTCCCTCTCTCTCTGCCCCTCCCCCTCTCACGCTCTCTCAATAAAAAAACATTAAAAAACATTTTTTTAAAATTTCTGAATTCTTTTGCTCAATGTGAAACTTTCCACTTTAACAATGGACTCAATTCATATCAAATTGAAACTGTTCATTTAGTAACAAACAACTAACCTAGTTTATAGAATCTAAGAAATCTATTCTACTTGGCACTAGATTCTTTTAGAAGTTCTACCCATACTGGAATATTATATGAATTTCAGAAAGTTTACTTTTTAAAGGTACATAGTATAATTGTCTAAGGCCTATTTGGATTTTATTTTTACAGTAAAAATGACTTAGTAAATTCTACATACTATAGCATTAGCTTTTGGTTAAGGTTGACAACAATTTGAACACAATTATTATATATCTGACAAAAAGATAATCAAGTAAAGATGATATATAAAATATAAAAGTGATATATTAAAAAACGACTATAAATCATTTAGGAGAAAACATATACTAGTTAACTTATATCTCATTTGCTTACACATTCTTTACCATGAACACAAATTCAATATTAGTCTTTAGTTATGTCATATACTAATGGCTCCAGAAAGTACTTTCACTTAATAATGAGTATATTATTTAATATATTTCAGGGGCGCCTGGGTGGCTTAGTCGATTAAGCGTCCGACTTTCGCTTAGGTCATGATCTCGCGGTTCGTGGGTTCGAGCCCCGCGTCGGGCTCTGTGCTGAGTGCCAGCTCAGAGCCGGGAGCCTGTTTCAGAGTCTGTATCTCCCTCTCTCTCTGACCCTCCCCTGCTCATGCTGTCTCTCTCTCTCTCCTAGAAATATATAAAACGTTAAAAAAAATTAATATAGTTCAATTAGTTTGCTGAAAACTTGATCTTAAAAAGGCAAATCAATGCCTGAAAGGGGATAAAAAAGAGCTATAGGTGAATACAGAGAGAGTGAGTAAAAAGTAGGTGGTTTAAGCTGAACAATGAGAAATATAATAAAAGTATATTTAATCATTACCTAATTAAAATCATTATTTAGATGGGGCTATGAAGAAAATAAAATACTATACTCTTTTGAAGAAAATATTTTCATTCTTAATATCTATCTGTTCATAAATATACCATTAACTGGTTCATTATTCAAAATTACATACGGATTAACATTTTTAGACTGAATAAGTAACAATACTATTTGTACAATTGCTGTACAAAGATACTCTCCTATTCTCAAATTACATGTTACTTCTTTTCTCCCAGATAATCTACTACGCCTGGGGAGAAACCATAAAATTGCTAATGTGGATAGGATTCACAATAGAATTTCATAACATTCAGAACACATGCATTTTATTTTTTAATTTTTAAAAAAAAAATGTTAATGCTTTTTAATGTTTTTATTTCTAAGAGAGAGAGAGAGATAGCATTAGCAGTGGAGGGTCAGAGAGAGAGAGGGAGATACAGAATCTGAAGCAGGCTCCAGGTTCTGAGCTAGCTGTCAGCACAGAGCCCAACGTGGGGCTCAAACCCACGAACCATGAGATCATGACCTGAGCCGAAGTAGGACGCTTAACCAACTTGACTGAGTCACCCAGGTGCCCCAGAACACATGGGTTTTTTTGTTTGTTTGTTTATTTCTGAGAGAGAAAAAGACAGCATGAGCAGGGAAGGGTCAGAGAGAGAGGAAGATACAGAATCTGAAATGGGCTCCAGGTTCTGAGCTAGCTGTCAGCACAGAACCCAATGCAGGGCTCGAACCCACGAACTGTGAGATCATGACCTGAGCTGAGTCAGATGCTTAACCGACTGAGCCACCCAGGTGCCCCAACACATGCCTTTTAATAATATATTTATTTAGGCTAAGAAAAAGAGAGAAGGGAAGGCACAAATAAGTGTCTTATAATCACCTAAATTCACTATTTACTGTGAACTGAAATATAGTTTAAAACATCTAAAATCTGGAGAGGTTAAACTCATAGTGACTTCATACATGGCTTGCTCATAATGAAAATACATAAAACACTAATTTTATAAAAAAGAATATGGTAATGTTGCAGGAATATTTACTGTTGTACCACATCTTATTCATTAATGTCACATATATTTATAATAAATACTTAGAATATATTTAATTATTTTGTGCTTTGTGCTTATTCTTCAATGGCATGCATAGCCCACTTCAGACCCTTTCATCTTCTAAAGTTCATCAGAAAATATTCCCAGATCTGCTCATATTAATCTTGTCTAGGTGCATGGATGAAGACTTATTTGTAATAGTTTCTTTTTTTTTTTTCCTTAATGTTTATTTAATTTTGAAGGAGAGAGAAAGACAAGAGCATGAGTGGGGAGGGGCAGAGAGAGAGACAGACAGAATCCAAAGCAGGCTCCAGGCTCTGAGCTATCAGCACAGAGCCTGATGCAGGGCTTGAGCTCAAACTCAAGAGGTGAAGATCATGACAAGAGGTGAAGTCCAACGCTTAAGCGACTGAGCCTCCCCGGTGGCCCTATTTCTAACAGTTTCTTTTCCCAAATAATGGAGGTTCTGAAAAAATTGTTCCACTATTTCTATGCTACTTAAAAGCTAATTAAACAGGGTCTCTGAATGCTACTTCCACTGGATCATCACCTTTTACAATGAACCACCTCATTACTTGCCCTTTTCTCCTGAAATACTTACATTCAAAAAATAGGGATAAATCAGAGTCCATCCCAGAAAGTTTAAATAGTTGACTTCATGCAAACAAGTCTCACCTAAGGGTCCAAGTCCTCTTGAGATCCATTTTCCTTAGTAAAACAAAGTATAATCCACCATACAAACAAACAAACAAACAAACAGTCTCCTTAATCCCTTTTCCCCACCTAGTGCAATCCTGCGCGCTGTTGCACTCCGTGTAGGTTTTTCTGGCTCAAGTACCCAAGTCTTCTCATCAATTTCATCCATAACATCCCAGAATGTTTTCAGTGATTCTAAGGCTGCTGAAAACTGACCATGAATGCTTACTAAGGAGCTCTGTAAAAGACAGATAAAAGCAAAGTAAGTTGCATGACATTCTTATCAACAGATCTTTCACTTAAAATATATTTCAATTGAGAAATTTTAAGCTCTGTTTCACTTCAGCTAAAACTACCCTAGTAAACAAAAGTCAACTGTCTTGCTTCATAGCTCTTCACCTACATTAACAGAATTAACAGCATTAACAGAATTTTTTGACTATCATTGGGACTGTGCATCTTAACAGTAATTTTTTAAAAATTTTTACTGTATGCTTATTTTTTTTTAAAGATTTTATTTTTTATTTTTTAATTTCTGAAAGAGAGAGAGACAGCATGAGCAGGGGAGGGTCAGAGATAGAGGGAGACACAGAATCCGAAATAGGCTCCAGGCTCTGAGCTAGATGTCAGCACAGAACCCGACACGGGCCTTGAACCCATGAACCATGAGATCAGGACTCACGCCGAAGTCGGAGGCTTAACTGACTGAGCCACCGAGGCACCCCCTTTATGTTTATTTTTGAGAGAGACAGAACACAAGCAGGAGAGGGGCAGAAAAAGAGGGGGACACAGAATCTGAAGCATAGGCTCCAGGCTCTGAGCTGTCAGCACAGAGCCCAACACGGGGCTCGAACTCAAAAACCATGAGATCAATACCTGGGCCAGTCAGATGCTTAACCCACTAAACCACCGAGGTGCCCCAGGAATTGTTTTTTAAAGACCATATTTATTTTTATTGTGATGTATTCTGTACTGTACTTATAAAATAGTAACTACTAATATAAGATGACGTGTATGTACTTTCTTAATGAATATACTATATACATATTGAGTATAGTGTCTATATAATTTTAGTATGAAAGTTATCAAGTTCCCTAGTATGCAGTTACCAAGTTAAATGCAGCATCATTTGCAATCTGATTATTTTAAACATTATTAATAACTTTACAGACTTAATTAGGCAAAGAGTATAAAAAGGTTCTACATATATTTCCTCTACAAGGTTTTTGTTGATTAAATTCAAATAAAAATGGAGTACACTTTTTTATAATATACATCTATTAATGAGAATAATGCATCTTTTGGTAGAAGGGAATAATGTTTAACTGGGGCTGAAAGTGGTGTTCCCTATTATCATAATCAACTGCAAATGTTTATCTGCTAATGCTTTGTAACAAAACTTTACATACATCATCCCTAAAACGCGCACACAGGTAGTGTACGGAATATCTAGTACTGCCAAATACTGATACAAATCCAGAAGCACAGGACTTAATAGAGACTGTTCATTATTAGGAAGGCATCTGTAGATTCTATAAGGTTCTACTCTTTTTTTGAGGCAAAATCAACATATATATTGTATAAGGTTCAAGTGTACAACATAATTATTTGTTTACACTGTAAAACAATCACAGTAAGTCTGATCTGTAACAATATAAAGTTTTAAACAATTTTTTCTTCCCTTGTGATGAGAACTTTTAAGATTTACTCTCTTCCCAACTTTCAAATAATGTAATACAATTTTATAGACTAGATTTAAGATTTATTCTGATGTTAAACTTATAGTCAATGTCTGAATTCAGTTATTTCAGACAGTAATCTTCTACGGGAATTAACTTACATTTTCACTAATGATAAGAACTAAAGTCATTACTGACTTTAAAAATCAATTCATAACTACTTTCAACTGAAGTAAAAAGTTTCTAATAAAGTAGTATGTATAAACAATACCAATACTTACTAAATATTATGTAAAAAGCAATCAAAACTAAAAGTTTAAGAATTAAGGATCTTATTGTTTCAAATAAGCAAAACATATTTTAAAAACAAAATCACTGAAAACTCTACAAATGTATTTATCCAAAATAACGGACACAAGCTAACAATGCAAGAATACAGTATACCCTGAGTGAGATGAAAACAAAGTACTCACTTCCTTAAAGGTATATTTTGTACTTATATGTACTTCAGGAAAACCCATTTCATCTCACCACTTTAATCGGCGTTCACACTTAGATGATTTCATGGCTCAGTTTCACAAAGCTAGTTTCAACTCTTCCAACATTCCATACACAGGGGGAAAAAGTAAGAGTAGGAACAAGAACTTAATATCTGAAATAACCTTTTAGGATACTGAAGGTAGCATACCTGTTCTCTTCTAATATGCCATACTTATTTATAAATTTAGATGCCGGAATCCAGAAATCAGAAACCAAACTTCCAAGTTTTGTCTTGACTTTACTATGGGCTGCGCTTTATTTCCTCTTTCATTAAATGTGTCACAATTCTTTAGATATGCAAACCAGAAACAAGCTGGATCCCTGCAGATTTTTTTTACACCTAATAAATTCATGAACTAAAGACCTGATTCTATTTTTAGCAAATTTCTCCATAACTCTACTTACCCTAGTAGTATTATGTACTATTAGAATATCCCTCTTAGAAAAGTAAACAAGTCCTTGTAGATCACAATAAAAAATAAATAAGCCCCTTGTTCTTGTTTCTACATCCAGACATGCCCTCACTGTCTTCCAAAACCTTATGAAGTATCCTATCTAAAATGTAAAACTGAACATATTATTGTGCCTCATAAAACCATTGAAAACAACCTTCTAACTGAATTTCCCCCTCTAGTCATATTCCCCTAAACCCCATTATTTATACTGCAATTAAGTTGATATTTGTATTCTGCAAACCTGCTTCTACAATTTCCTGGTTTACAACAAAACAATTTAAGTGCAGTTCTTCTCAAAGTGATATTTTTTTCTTTATAACAGCAACACAAATTCCAAAAGCTGTTCAATAAATATTTGTTTTAGCAAGCTGAAGTCAATTACCTGACATAAAATAATCATTTATGACCTTCATCATTCTATTTATTAAGGCTACTGTTATTTACAAGTAGCTTGTAAATTATGTTTTAGGTTACGGTTTAAAACCGCAGTTCTTTATCATGGCTTGCAATTAACATTGTTTAATAGGTATACATAGATGTGTTTACACAGAGTAAACTGAAATACTTTCCATGGGTATATTTACCACTCCAGGCTTCAGTAACCACCCTCTCTGAGATCATTCTCACATTTTTTTAGGCCAAACAGACAACTCCAGAACTGCTCACACATCTCTGTATGGATGATCTCTTCATGGCTAACAGACACATCATATTCCTATTGCTCCTCCCTGATCTCCTTATCTTCCCAGAGAAATGCCACCCTCTTAGGTCACCCGCCCCCGCCCCCCAACCAGGTGACCAGGGGATAGTACCTACCCGATTGTGCAAACCAGAAATCTAACCATAGTACTAATTAACTAGATCATTAAAAGAACCTTGTAACTAAATTTTCTTCCTTTAGCTACAGTTCCCTAAAACAATTATTTACACCACAATTAAACTGATATTTGTATTCTGCAAATGTGATATTATAATTTGTTTATAATAAGACATTGATCATCAGATACATATAAAATAATCCAATTGCTGGACAGTATGTTGATTTTTTAATAGCTTTACTCAGATGTAAGTGATGTACAAAGAACTGCACAAATTTAATGTGTACAAGTGGATGAATAGGAGCCTGTGCATACAACCACGAAACCATCACCACAATCAAGGTAATAAACCTATCCAATAGCTCCCCAAAGCTTCCTTGTGTCTTTTTCGTGGGGTTTTCAGCAGGAACTTAACATAAGCTCTATCTACCCTCTCAAGTTTTGAAATGCATGATACTGTACTGTTGTGTATATGCATCATGTTGTACAGTACATCTCTAGAAGTTGTTCATCTAGCATAGCTGAAACTTTACACGCACTGGACAACAACTCCACAGTTCCTGCACCTTCCAGGCCCCTGTAGACTGTATTCTCTTTATGTAGGAGTATTTTAGATACATCATGTTAGAAACATGAAGTATTTGTCCTTCTGTGACTGATTTATTTCAGCTGTCCTCCAGGTTCATCAGTATTTTTGCAAACGGCAGGATTTTCTCCTTTAAGGATGTCTGCATAGACTATCTTTGCTCACACACCACATTCACTTGTTGACAGACACTTGGATGCTATCCTGTCTCTCTGCTGTTGTGAATAACACTATAATGAACATGTAGGTACAGGTATCTCTTTGAGACTCTGGTTTCAGCCCTTCTGGATATATACCCAGAAGTGGGATTGCTAGATCATACAGAAGTTATCTTACTTACTTTCTGCAGGAATAGCAACATTGTTTTTCATTGCTGCCATACCATTTTACACTCCCACCAAGTATATAGGGTTTCAATTTCTCCACAGGCTCCAGACTCAGCCGCCAGCATGAAGTCCAATGTGGGACCCAAACTCAGGAACTGCGGGATAACCTGAACTGAATTCAGATGCTTAACTCACTGAGCCACACAGAAGCCCCATTTTCTTTTTGTTTGGTTTTAATAACCATCTTAACAGCTGTAGAGTGGTATCTCATTTTAGTTTTGACCTGCATTTCCTTGGTAACTAATGATGTTGAACATCTTTTCATATCCCTGTTGGCTATTTACAGGTCATCTCTGAAAAAGTATCCAAGTCCTTTGCCCATTTTTTAACCAGGTTATATGCTGGGGGGGTTTTGTCTGCCTGGGTTTTTTGTTTTTGTTTTTGTTTTTGTTTCGGGCTACTGAAGGGTTTCTTATATATTTTGGATGTTAACCCCTTATTAGATACATCGTTTTCAAGTATTATCTTCAATTCCATAGAATGCCTTTTCATCCTGTTCACTGTGCAGTAAGTCCCTTAGTTTGATACAGTCCCACTTGTCTATTTTTGCTTTGTCGTTGGTGCTGTTGGTGTCATAATCAAGACATCAGTATCAAGACTAATGTCAAGAAGTTTTCCCCATGTTTTCTACTACGAGTTTTAGTTTCAGGTCTTATATTTAAGTCTTTGATTCATTTTGAGTTGGGTTTTGTATACAAATGCAAGGTGAGGGCCCAATTTCCTTTTTTCATGTGGATATCCGATTTCCCAATACCATTTGTTCAAAAGACTATT